TGCAGAAGAGGATGTCTAAATTTGTCACAGTCAGCATGTAAAAAGTTTATTGTACCTTTAAAAGAAACAGAATTTGGAGAGGTAGATTAGAATTTTCTTGATTGTATTCTCATAAGTTTGCAAGTTCATAAAAAGTGACATACTAAAAAATCCCAACACGCTTTAGCATAATACAGACCACAAAAACGAAAACCTTAATATTACAACCCTTTAAAAAGGCAAATTTTAATTCATAGGGCAGAGAGTATAATTTCATTAGAAATTATATGAACTCAACCTGAATTCAAATGCTATAGTGAATTTTTTTATTCTCCTTAAAGGGGTAATCTTTTGCTCTGCAGATTACATAGGTCTGGGAAGCAAGTTCCAGAAACTGATATGTGAGGTGTTCTCAAGGGGCCGTCTTCATTTCATAAAGGATGTCCCTCCAGTCCCTACTGGTTGATTTTTAATCTAATTCAACCCCAAAATATCTCCAGTGACTAATATGAGCATGGCTCTATACACAGCCTTCAGTTTACTTGGTTTGACTTTCTTCTCTAACTTTGAGGGAAAGCTGGTGATACCTCAGATTCCTTTTTGATGCTTTGGGAAAGTCAGAAGAGAATTACTCAACTTTCTTTCATTTAGAAATACAGTAAATGTTCATCAGACTGTGTAAGTTCTCTCAGCAATATCTTCTGGGACCATCTGCTAGAAGGGGACCAGACAAATATCAAGGTGCTGGAGGAAACTGCCTAAAACTAATACCGTTCACTTATGACCCCACTTTTCATGCGATTTGATTTTAAAGAGCTAAAACAATCAGGGTTTAAAAAAAAGAAAAAGCTACTGCTTCATATTATCTCTACTAATGCCTTCCATTCCCATGTTTTCATGTAAATTCAGGGGCTGAGTAGAGTTCAAATAATTTAAGTTTTTAACCCAAATATGTTTGTGTTAGTATGAATGTAATGGGAAAAGGAGAAAGTAAAATCAAAGAGAAAGGATTAAAATAAACACCTTAATCTGTCTACCTTTTTCACTTATTAACTGTCGGGCTACTTCATTCTGGAATATTTCTAAACTTTCTGTGTCTTCTTTCATGTGGAAGAGTATGAGAAAAGGCAGTCCTTCTTCTGTCAATTCCTGTATAGAGAAGTATTCAGTGAGAATTATCAGGCCTCTCCATTCAGCTCTAGCTGTTTTCTAGGTAGGAACAACTTTAAACCCAACCCGCATCACATGCAGCACCTGCAATATCCCAGGAAGAAGAGGTCCAGGGGTGTAAGTAAATAAATGCCTTAATGCCTTAATGGAAGAAGGAGTGCATTCCCTCCACCTAAAGAAACCGCGCACTCAGAGGACCCACATGTATTGCTGTACTGTAGGAACTGATCTGCCTTTAAGCAACCACTGGCCTGGTCTGTTAGCTAGTATTGGATGAAGCCATGACATTTGAAAAATGAGCTGACCAAAGGAAGAATTATTATGGTTCTTTTTCAAGATTTGATTTTAGGAAGGGGTAAAGAGTCTTCATTTCATTGGTAACACTGAAAAACTGAGTATAGCAGCAATAATTAAATCTGATTTGCAAACTTCGGCTTATTCTAAGGTTTACTGCAGAAACCACTCCACTTAAATGAGACCTACCCAAAGCTGAACAGTGTGATTCAGAGCAAAAGCCAAAACCCCATAACATACCCAGTTTTCAATCAATATACAATTTATCAACATTATTAACAAATACTTGCCTCTATATATGTGTATGTTTATATACCTTGTATGTATACATACACAAAAATACCTTGAAAATTTTTATTTAAAACTTTATTATTGTAATTGGAGAATACAAGAGAAATGCGGTAAGTAGACAGCATATTTTGATCGTTATTCTCTCTGACAAATGTTAAGTTGTGACTCATAATAAAAAGTCCAGAAAGGGCCTCAAAATAGTATTATTTCCATTAACAATTCTTTTGCTTGTCTTTCTATAATTTAGGAACTGACTCAGCAGAAAGCAACCATGTCCTTATCCTAAGAAAAACTGAAACTGGAACCTATCTTACAGGATAAGAGTTCTGGTTCCTGTTTCCATGGTTAAGCCTGTTCCACTCATACAAAGGATAAATTATTAAGCTTTTCATCACAGTTACCCTCTTTTTTTTTAATTGAGATATACAGTTGGCCTTCCCTTATCCACAGGTTCCATGACTGGTTGAATCCATGGATGTGGACCTGGGGATACTGAAGGGCCAACTGTAAGGGACTTGAGCATCTGAAGATTTTGGTATCCATGGGGGTCCTGGAATCAATCCCTGGTAGATACCAAAGGACAAACGACTATAATTCAGATGCCACAAAATTCACCATTGTAAAGTGTATAATTTGGTGGCCTTCATTATATTCACAAAGTCACTAATTCCAGAACATTTCATCACTTCTAAAAGAAACTCCATACTCATTAGCAGTCACTTCCTATCTCTCTTCCCCCCAGCCCCTGGCATCACATTGATGTTTTAGCAAACTGATTTAAATTTCTTCTTCCTCACTTATTATCTCTTGGGCTCACATCTTTCTTTCCCCACACATTAATTTCAACTACTACTCCATGGTTCTATCTTTGGACTTCTCTGTTGTAGCCTGGCAACTTCAGCTAGTTCAACAATCTCCATCACCACCTCAGACCGGTCCCTTTTCTGTATCTCCACGCCCAGTTCCAGTACTGTCAACACTCAACATAAATGCATAGCCCCTTCCTCTTACCCCATATTACCATTAATACTTCTATTTCTCTTTTAGACTTTTTGTTTCAGGACTGAAATGCCTCTTCTAGAAAGCCATTCCTGATTCTACCCCATTTCTGCCGAAGAAATGAATTTTCTCCTCTAAGTTCTCAGAACATTTTTTCAGTGCCCCTCATGTGGCACAGGGGCAGGTCTTTATGTTATATTATCTGTACATGTGAACTACTGGACTGAAAACCCTTAAAGACAGAGAATCTTATTTCACTTCTCCTTTGCTTGCAGATTTTTGTACACAATAATGTGTAGTCAACTTGTAACTGAATAAATGAAAACACACATGTTGCTGAGTAAATGCTAACTGGGAAAGAAGACTCAGCAGTCACCCTTTAGAAAATTTAAGAGCTAGCAAGTTAAACCTAAAAACAAATACATTACTTTATTAGTAGTAAACAAAATTACTAATTTTGTAATTAAACAAAATTTTTGTTTAAACAATTTTGTTTAAACAAAAAAAATGGATGAACTAACAACTGTTAAGAGAGAAGTAATAAACAGTAGTAATTGGAAAGTATCTCTGTGAATTAATTTGCTAAGCTAATTTACATATATTAACATAGTTTATGCTGCAAGAGCTTCCAAGTTTACTCATGTCCATATCCACACCAACATATTCTTTACCAAGCAGGTATTAGACAATACATGAGAGGGATATCAAGACAACCAGACTTAGAGGTTAATAAATCTTTCCCCATAGTTTAAAGGATTTATGGGTAGTTGGTTACAGCATATAATAAATCTAAAAAATTGTTAAATGTACCAACTACTGTGGGGCAGGAGGGGAGAAAGGACAGACCCTTGTTCGTTTAGTTTTCCAATCCATCTATATCTTTAAGTTTTGAAACTATCCCTGTAAAAACTGCCAAAGCAGGTGAATAACTGTGACAGGTTACTAAATCTTTCTAAGCCTCTAAGGACTCAATGAGCTAATAAAAAATGTAAGTTAATTCAGCTAAACATACCTGAAGCCCAGAGAACTGAGAAAAGTAGCAGAGATGTTCATTTGATAAAAACCAAGCAAGCAAGCAAGCAAAGTGTACCAGAACACAACCACACTTATCTATGTATTGTCTAAGGCTGCTTTTGTGCCACACTGCAAAGCTGAGTAACACAGACTCTATGAACCGCAAAGCCTGAAATATTTACTGTCTGACCTTTAACAGAACTGTCGACCTCTGACTCGGGATTATATGGGGATGCTTACTCTGTGGTAATTTCTTGAGTTGTATATTTAATATCTGAGCTATATACTTATAATTCTTTGAAATATATATGCATATAGAACGTTTTAAGAAACTTTTTTTTTAATTACATTCTCAGACTGTGAGTTTTAAAAATGAAGGAATGAAATGAAATGAAAGATATGTTTCGAATACAGTAAAAGCAGAGAGAGGTAACTCACAGACACTGCCCTGTGCACTTGTTCCTCCAACCTCTTAGGTTTCTTTGTGTTTTGTTTCTGTGGGAGTTGTTAAGAGTTTGGATTGGCTTTATTTCATACCCATGGGATCACTGAAGTCAGTTACATGATAACCAATAACTACTTTCATTATTTACAATGGAAAGAGAACACAATTTCATTCTTTTAGGATGCACAGGAATCAGAAACCTTTCTATGGCAAAGAAGTATGCACTGTATATAATTAATTGTAGTTAAAAATCTGAAGAACATTGCTTTTAAAGCAATCCCCTTAAACAAGGACCGTCAACCGAGGGTGCAATCAGAATTATCTGAGAAGCATTTTCAAACTCATTTCCAAGGCTGTAGTGAACCACTGCTACTGCAGGAAATACAACAGTGGGGTTCTGGGACAGCAGAGGTGGAGAACCACTGGCCTTGTACTACAGAAATAGCTATGATGTACTTATGTTCACTGTGTGATTTTTATAACAGATAAATTCTGTCGGAGAATAGTAAGATGGATGGAGGAAGCTCGCTCTTTCAAAAATCTGAATTAAAAATACCAAAACACATTAGAAAGCCCATACCTCTCCATTTTCAAATGTTATTTCTCGGACAAGAGGAACACATTTATCTTGAATCCAATTGTAAGTCCCATCAAAGTTTGTCATAGATCCCAAGTATACCATATCTGGAGCAGAATGCTGTTATAAAAACATAGGGAAAAATTAAACAGATCTAATCTGTGCTAGCAAAAATGCATCCTGAAAGCCATCTATGAGCCCTGAAAATGTACAGGGGATACAAAAGAAACAAAAACATGGAACTTCTGAGAAGGAGGGCTGTAGATGGTAATAAGCTGATAACTCTGTGATCATCAGGGGCCTGAATATCCAGCCTGTGATGTCTAAGCTTACCTTCTGCTTTCCTTTGGCTTTGGGTCAATTAAATGTTTATCAATATCTTCATCAATAGCAGGCAGGCATTGTGAAAAGAAGGATTATCCTAATGATTTAATTTAGCTATCTATCCCTTCAAAAATATTAGAAAAAAATTTGGAGACTTCAAGTGAAAAAGCCTTGAAAAATACATGATACTATTATAAATCTAAGGGCTGTCTTTCTCTAATACTAAGTATGGTATCTGTTTCCACATTCACTCAAACTCAGTATTTTTGAAGTGCCTAAAATGATAAGTAGCTAACATTACCTAAGCCAGCTTACTGTGACCAAACACTGTTGTACCACTGTAAGCACCTTGTATGTGTTGATTCAATTAATCCTAGAAACAGCCCCACAAAGAAGGAATTAGTACTATCATAGCTATTTTCACTAATGAACAAACTAAAACACAGAGAAGCCAAGAGTTACACATCTAGGAAAGTGGCAGATTTGACATTAAAAGTCTCATTCCTATGCCCATGCTCTTAACAAGCAACCTACACTGCAAGACACTTGGATTCTGGTAAGACAGAGATGGTCACGCTATGTAAGCTATTATTAAAGAAATAATAATACCTATATGAATTCAAAATAGGAAATGAGCTTTCTAAGCAAAAAAATTCATTCATAAGACTAAACAAAAATGAAAAACTTCAGTGTGTCAAAACACCACAAGAAACATTAAAATGAAAACTATGAATTGAAAAAATACCCATTTCCAATTTTGTGCGTGTGTGTGAAAAATTGCAATGACAGACCATTAGGTCAATTTGGGATGACAAAAGAGTGTGATTTTTGCCTCTTAGCTGTGGCTACCATCACTGGGCCTAACCAATGACTTTTAAGTTTAGACACACTGAACTTCTTAGCCAAAGGTTAAAAACAACCTAGGGCTTCTTATTATCTGGTAAGTACCAGGTGAACTTACACCCCAAAAGATTTGGGAGCTTGGCTACTCTCATTCAAATCAGGGTGATGGTCACAGACCACTGAAGCATTTTTTTGAATCTGGGTCCCAGAATGAATGCATAACAGAGAGGTGGAAAAGGCCTGGGGATCAGGGGTCTCTAGTCTCAGCTCTGCCACTAAATGCCTGTGTGACTTTAGACCTTTGTGTCCCCATCATTGCTTTGAAAGGTTTGTATCAGCACAAAATGATACCTTAAGGTTCCTTTCTGTACTAAAATTTTATGATTCTGTGAACACTAACATATAAAACTACAGATTATACTATATATGTATTTAAATTATATTTAAAATTATACACACTAAGAAATAGCAACTTACCCCTGGTGGTTTATAGATTATGTTGTCTCCGCTATATCGTTCTGGTTTTGAAACAGCCCTAACAGAAAGAGAGAAGTAGTAATAATATTTTTTAAGAAAAATAATACCAGTAATACACCTGAATGAAGCAGAATTGCCTACCTGTTTTGCAACATATGAATTATAACAATTTGAATTATATACTTGTCCATCTTCTTTCCTACTTATAAAATTATGCAATACCAATAAAAACATATATTTAAAGGAAAAAGTTAATATGAGGCAGATTTTTTTAAAGGGAAATCTTAGTTAGCTGTTTTTGTGACTCAGTATTTTATGTGTAGATTGGCAATTCTGGCACTAAAATGCTGTTTTTGACCTCAGACTGTTTCTAGTAACTGAAGATCAAAGTCATTGAGTGGTCACATAAACCAATCAAAAAACACATTATTTGCTCATAAGTCAGACTCAACTATGCATACTCTACTTTTTTACTTTTTAAAACCAAAATTTATTTTAAAAAATAGATGAATTGAAATAACCTACATCTTTAGAATACAGTTCCATAAATAAGTAATTTTTAATTTGTTTACTGTTACCTATGCCTGGTACAGGCACATAATAAGTGAATAAATATTTGGTGAGTGAATTCTGCAACAAACTCTAAGTCAAAATGGGTAACTTCTTCTCTCTCTCAACTATATTTGGATTAACGGAACCCTGATTTATCTCCAGCTTCTGACTAGGGTAGTACAGGAGGTAAGGGCTAGACTGATGAACAGTGGGACAGAAGAAGAGAACATGCTCCATTCATTCATCATTCACTATTGAGTGTGCGCTTCCTTCGCACCAGGTGTCTTCTTGGCAGCTGACACACAGCAGTGAACAAAACTGACAATCCTGTGCTCTCATGGAGCTTCCATTTTGGTGGGGAAAGGCAAGTAGACACTTTTATCTTGGATGGTTAAAAACAAACAAAAAAGGTGCTATGAAGACAAATAGGTGGATAAAGAATGACACGTTAGACAATAGTAGTGCTGTTTTATATAAAGTTATAAGGAAAGATCTTCCTGACGAGATGATATCTAGACAAGCACTTCGGACAGAGACAGGAAGGGCAGAGGCCCTGCAGCGGGTGTGTGCCTGCAGCGTCAGGAACAGCAAGGGGCTGCGTGGCTGGGCACAGTACTGCCAAGAGCAAGGGGGACAAGTGCCTTCATTATTTACTCTGTGTGATAATCCTCAAAAACCACTGATAATGTTTACAATAAAACACATATACAAAACCTACAGAAGTATTAAGACAGGGAAAATGATCACAAAATGGAGAGGACATACTATGCCAGAAATCTGGGATCTACTCAGGATGGTACTACAGTTGAGTCTAACAGTTACAGGCCAAAGAAAAGAGAGAGAGAATATTGTGAAATGTCAAAGGATGGTGGAGATAACCTCCAATGAGAAGAAAGAGTCAAGGAGAGAACCATAAAAATGATTCTACTTTGAAAGAGAAAGAAAAAAATACAAAATAAAGTCAGAGAAGTCAGAAAGGTAAGGAGAAAACCAGACAGATTCAACATGAAGTGTAGACATAGCAGAAAAAGGACAGGGTAGCTGAGGGTCACATCCTTCAGAGAACCTGAAGAGGATTAAGACTGAAAAAAGACCACCGGATTTGTTAATGAAGATGTGACTGTGTGGACAGAAGTTTCATTAGGGTCATGGAGGGGAAAGTTGGCTTCTAGGAGGTTAATGTTTTTAACTGGCTAGAGTATGAGAAATGCTAGGTAGCCAAGCATAACGAATCTTTGAAAAAATTTGAGGATGAAAAGAAAGATGAGATTATAGCTCAAGAGACAAGAGACAGGACAGGAAAGAGAGAATCATGTTTTTAGGAAAGGAAAGATGTTCATGAATACGGTCAGGTTGAAAACATGAGAGAGCAAGGACAACGGATGGCTCAGAGCCCCACAGGACTTTAAAGGGACGACTACAGGGACACAAGGAAGGAGGTTAGCCGTGGAAAGGAGAAGAGAAGGTGGTGGAGAACTGGCGATGAATAAAGATGATATCGCTCATGCTTCTTAATGAGAGAGACAGTGTGTGGTTTCAGTTTGGAAACCCCGCAAGTTAATAAGCGTTTTTCATGATGCAGGACAGTGTTAGTAAATGAGCTGAACAACAGTATGAGAGTTAGTTGTTAACTTGTCCATTCTTTTCCTTTCTTACCCACATTTTAAATAGAGTACAGAAAGGAAAATTAACAGACTTTCACACTCTTAAGAAGAGGCCAGAGATAGGTGTAAAGCCTTGCTTGTGACTTTAAGAGGACTGAGATAATCTCTGGAGAGGTCATCTTCAGAAAACAACCACACACAACACACTCAACTAAGATACTTACCCAAATGCAGAAAGGAAGGCACAATCATCATGCAAAATATTTGCTACTCTTTCAAAAACTCTATAGTTTTCTGAGTCCTTCTGCTCAAAATATCCAATGATATTTCTTTTGCTGCGCTGTAAAATAAAGTATGTAATTACTTTACAAACATGTATAGTTCTTTAAAAAGCATGTTATTTCATTTACCCAGCTGCTGTTCAGTTATCTCCAAATGAAGTGTGACTATAAATGCTTAATTGGCTTTTAACACCTAGTCCAAAACTATTAAAGATTACATTAGGTTGAAAATAATCTTAACTACAATCTAATATAATAATTTCCTTCTAGTATTTTTAAAATTTCAAGAAACAGATAATTGTTTAATCAGTGACAGTCTTTTCCTAAATAAGATGACTAATTCTAAGATGTGTTAACATAATATATCTATTTGTAACATGTGACTATTGGCAGAGACTCCTCCAAGGATCTCTCACGTTCCTACACGTTTAGATATATCCAAAATGCAAGACCCTGACCACTCTTTACCCGGGCAATCTCTCAGGGTTGTACGTGCAGTTAGCAACCTTGAGGTATGAGGTTATGTCTCCCTTCAGGACAAAGAGCAGCCTTACTGCTGGCTCTGAAATAGGAGCTCCCTGAGCCCAGAGTGCCCCTGTCCCACAACCACCTGCATGAGCAGGGATTTGTCTGGACTCTCTGTGTCACCTCCATAGGACTTGGGGGCAAGGAAACAAATGCAAACATGTCACACTGTTTGCTTGATGTGAGCAAGAAAATCCTTTGTCTCTGACCCAGGAGCCTTGTGTCTTCTGACAGCATCCATGAAATGATAATTTTCTAATTTATTTGTTTATAAGAGGGTAAAAATCAAATCTCAAGCCTGGCAATGGCCATCTAAAGCCCAAACTCAATTGTTTTCATTTTTTTAAAAGAGCAAAATACTTCTTAGTGTACAAAGAAAAGGATTTGTTAAGCATATTGCTAAGGGCAGCTATGTCAGAGGACACTAAAAATGTATACAAACAGCTGATATAGGGGTACTTAGAGCAGATACCCTGAGGGTCTCCACTAAGGAAAATATGGAGCCTTTGGCTGTGTATGCCTGCCATTAACGTCTATTTCTTCATAATTCAGGCTACCCTTTGTCCTCAATTAATTCAAATTAGTACAACTTTCCTGTTATGCTATTATACAGTAAAACATTAGCATTTACCTTGGGAATTCAAGAAAATTTCAACTTAAGTATATATCAAATCCATTGCAACAAACTATTAGAAAATGTGCAGATTCTTTGATTACATTAAGAATTTATTTACATTAAGCAAGCAGGTAATGTTCATTTGATCCAGCAAAAGTTAATGACTTACATCAAGAGTGGTGATTTCTGCTAAGTCATGCAGTTCTTGAATGGGGTCACTTTTTTGTTGCCTGATGTAATCTGCAAGTGCTTTCACTGATCGCTGACCCCTGTATTCTCTCTTCATCATCATCCCATTACGAAACAGTTTGAGGGTTGGGTATTTGCTTATCCTGTATCTCTGAGCTATATCAGCTAAGAGAACAACAACAACAAAAAATTAACTTCACCCTCAAACTCAGTCTGGGTGAGCCCATTAGCCCACCAGTCAAAAATCTTACAATTATTTAGGGAGAACATTTTGGTTTATATAATTCTTCAGTGTTAGAGAAAAAAATCAATCATGACAAGTTTGTATTGCTTAAGAGTCCAGGCTCCTAACATACACGGCCTGGTTTAAACCCCACAGCTATTTACTGGCTGTGTGAACTTGTATGTACCTCAAGTTTCCATGCCTTAGTTTCTTATCCGTTATGTGAGGATAATAATTTCTACCACATAGAGCTGTTTTAAAGACTAAATGAGATAATACAAATGCATGACAGAGTAAACACTTAATAAATGTTACTAAGTATTATTATAGATATATAATAGTATATAGATAACTAATATTAGATACTCTGCTAGTAGAAAAATTTATAATCCCACATACACAAATTTTGAATATGCTAATACAATTAAGAGCAAAACTCAGCAGTATACACTAAAAAAAAAATCCCTTTATTATGACCTATGGGTATATTCTCACACAAATCATTAAAATTGGTGTTTATAGTCTCAAAAACTTAGTCAAAATGTGTGCTGATCTCATTTTTAGGAATCACAATTAGTAAGATACAGACTTAATCAGAACGGAAGAGCCTTCAAATTTTTCTGCTGTTATTTCCAAGAGGTAGCAAATAGGAGAAATCAATGGTTTCTAGACACGGGTAAAGATCAAATGTCATGTTAGTCACATGGATAAGAATGATAAAATTTTCAGAGCAAAGGGGACCTGAGAGAGCATAAGTAGCTTGAAACAGGTGATTAAAAAAAAACTGAGTTCTAAAATGAGAGCAGAATTCTAAAATGATGGCACAAAAAACCATGAATATTCTCTAGGCCCACCTCCATTTCTAGTAGTTGC